TGTTTTACTTGGAAAAATAAAGTAACCATTTTTATACATAGTAGAGACTTGTTTGTCGAAACTCTGTGCGATTGAAGACAATATGAAATTGCACTGGTTACGATAACTGAATTCATAAGAACGGAGCAGTCAGAATATTCTTATCTAAAGCCAATTTATTTTCACTCCTTACAGCCATTTCTCTACTATTTTTCTGTTATCACTTCTGTTGTAAAGTTAATTTTTTTGAAGCTATATGTTGATGCCTTAGCAATTATTTGATTTAACCACAATGTAGTTTATAAAGGTTTTTCAGCATTAACATACTCACAACTGAGTTACCTTCACTACTTCCCTAAGTTCCAGGACGAATTTTTAGGTAGTTTAATAGCATTATTTTATATAAACAAGTAGTATAGTGCCACTAAAATCCATATTTTCTCAAAAACTTAGTGCAATCCACAAAGAACACGTGACTAATGTCCCATAACAACAGTTACATTAAGGAACACAGTCATTAATAAACGAACTAGGTAAATGTACACATCATCAGCCGTAAACTTACTGGTAAATGGTAAAATGCGTTAGACTATGAGGTGAATTTGATAGGTACAAAGTCATTGATTCGTCGTCACATCAGATTATTTGCACCGACAGATCAAAGCAAAAATAAAACTGAAATTATGTTGAATTTCCAGATTTTGGTGTACTGAAGCGTGTGGAAAGAAGTGGAGACTTACAATATATAGTATATTTTGAACCGACAAAAAGACCTCAGGACATCTGGATTTCGCCAGTGATTTAGATCCCATGTCTCACAAACTCGAGGATTTACTAGCTAAAACCAACATGTTGGCAGATGGAAACTAAGACAGGAATTCATGTGAATGTAGACGCGAGAGAGGTGATGAAAATACTCAGCCAACCACCTAACAACAAGCACTTTCAATGGGATTAATCAGAAGAAAGCAATCTGTTTCACCTAACTGAAATGAGTAGCATCATTTCAATTACAGCTATGAGGCATGTAGATGAGGATATCAAAGTCAGTAAGGGTCAGATCGTGAAAGCAAAACAGGCGTTCTTTACATTAAGTTCGCAAATCAACAACAAGATACAAATTGCAAAACTCATGTCAAGTCGGTGGTTCAATGGTAGAATGTTCTACGACTATGCTAGATGTCTGGGTTCAAGTTCCGGCTGACTCACTCACAAACCTCGTCTAGCTGGCAGTTAGTCGAAAGAAGAAAGGTTAGGCTCAAAGCTAGCAACTGTATCCCTTGAAAGTAAAACCACCACTGCTAAGACTTTACAGCTTGAAGCTGTATTTTCGATTCATATGGTCTATATAAGTAGAGGTTCTCTAGATTCATAACAAAAAAGATAAGGCGGATCGTTTTGATCGATGGATTCCGTAACCGAAATTAGGTATTTGTCAAGAAGTAAACTTTAAATTCTGCCCTAATCTTTTTTCACTTATTCAGTGAATAGTTTAGTTCAACAAAATATATTTATATATATACCTTATCAGTTATATTTCTGGGAATAAACAATTTATTCTTCACAATAAGTCTGAAAAGTGATCATTTTTAAGAGTATTGAACTTTAAATGTTATTTTGTTCATATTAATGTACAGTTATTTAAAAGTAAAGTAATTACTTATGTTTTCGAACTTAATAAAGTTCATGCTGACTGTTTACAAATTATCTCAGAAAAATAAGATTCATATATATATAAAGTGTTATCACATTGTAGGCAAAGTTTAATTGCAATCTAACAAATGCTTATCCAGTAAGATGCTTGTAAATAATAATCGAATAGTCATGTTTCCTAGTTGTCAGATAGATTCGTAAAAACTAGTTAACTGCATTATTACTTACTAACACAGATAGTTGAGTAGTTAGTTACTTACTAACTTGGTTAGTTAGTTTGGTTTATTTTGTAAGAATCAATAAATTGTCTACATATTGTGAATTATCGGATGACAATTTGAACACATCAATGTGTCTGATGATCGTATTTCGTTTGTTACACAACATTCAAACTTCAACCTTTTTTTTTAGTTTCCATTCACAGTGGAAATATTCGAATGATCTGAGATTTGCCTTGAGTTATTGCTATGGCATATGCCTAGTGATCATTTGATGTACCAGGCAAGCTTACTGAAGTATTTTAGTAAGGGAACAAAAGCCTGGTTAGGAAACCAGTAAAACTAAATGATGAGAGACCAAAATTTCTCCGTGAATCTAAGTGCCATCGAACAGCAGTGGTTCAACACAAACTTGAGATGTTTAGGATAACTTCACTAGGAAATCAAATTCAAGAAGTAAGAAGACATGCAAATGTGAATGTTGACGTCTGAATAATTATGAGACATAATGTTGTGTTCGAAACATCATCTAATAGTCGGCAAAGGTGCATCACAGCGTTCTATAACAAAATAAATACACTACTATAAATTCATACGCTATCATAACGCCCAATTCTATACCTTTCTAGAGAGTTCTGTTAAACAGTGCTTGTCCTGACCGTTTTCACGATTGACCCTCAAGCTTTTCAATCTTAATTCTTTTAAGCTTAACAAGGTTTTTCTATTCTTGAAGTTTTAAGAGTCATTTAGTTTTGCTAAAGACGAAATTTTGGTAGTTAAAGGTTTAGGCAACAGGTAGTCAGTATGCTTATGACTAAGTGATAACTTTCATATAACAAATGTCTCGAATCTATTACATAAAACATGTTCATTATTTTGTTCCAGCTAATATAGAGTAAATATCAGCTCCAGTAGTTGTTTCAGTTCCTCTCCGCTTCTATTTTAAAACAATAAACAGTTGTAAAACGTAGGTATTTTAGAGAAAAAGTAAATTACTAATAACTACTACAAATCTAACAACAACGAACACCATTCTTTTAATCAAATCAACACGTAATTCTATGAAATTCCTAGAGATTTCTTACTGTTTTCAATGTATAACTATTTATTTTACTGGATTGAACGAAATTGTTGGTGTTGACACATGGAGCTATTGGCAAACGTATTCAAACTTAGCAGACTAAACAGGGATCTCTCCTAGAAGCACATGAAATAACTGAGACTCATCATTTCGGTCACGTGAGATAAGTAATCAGAAATCATGTGTATAAAGAAATAACTAATATTGGTTGGATACAGCGCGTCTGTTGTGGCTGGTACCTATTAGACAACGTCTTTTTCAGGTTTACTGTTGATTAACCGAGGCTTAAGAGTGAGTCGGCCGACGATCGAGCCCTGGCAGCCATGCATGTTTGGCGAGAATTCTATCAGTAAATCACGAACTTCATACAACTGGTTCCCTTGATAAATTTCGATAAAGAAAGGAAGACGAAATTTGCAGTATAAAATGATATCATTCTATTTCACAGGTTCTCATCAGCTGCAGACTACCTGAAATTACAATGGTTATATAAATGATAATAACATACTTTAATGTTTGATTAGTAGTAGAGAAGAGATAAAATTGACGCATCCAAAAAAGAATGAAAGCATTACAATCAACTCTACCGACAAATTGATGGGGTCGCTATGGGTTCACCTCTGGGACCTATCCTGGCTGATATCTTCATGGGCTACCTTGAACAGACACAACTAAGTTCTGCTATCAATGGAACAACCTACTATCGCCGATATGTTGATGACACATTTGTTGTTTGCAACGACATGGATCACGCATCGGCATTATATGATCACCTAAATGAGATTCATCCAAATATCAAGTTCACCATGGAATATGAACATAAGAATGAGTTCAATTTCCTGGATCTAAATGTAAAAAGAACAAACGAAGGCATGATTGAAAAGTCCACCTATAGAAAAGAAACCTGGACTGGACAATATCTTCACTATAACAGCTTTTGTCCCATAAGCTATAAACGTGGATTAGTGAGGACTTTGTACGACAGAGCCAGGAAGCTATGTTCACCAAACAAGGTCGAAGAAGAACTAGATTTCGTCGAGAAATGCCTGAGGGAAAACGGATACCCTAAAGGATTTATACAGAAGTATAGCAGAGAAAAAGATAAGAAGGAAAAGCATCCAACTGTAGAAAAGAAAAAAGTGTTTATTTGTCTCCCATTCAAAGGAGATGCAGTTTCACAAAAGATTGACAGAAGACTGAAAGGAGCAATAAATAGAAGCTTCCCGGCAGCAAAACTCATAACAGTATACAACACCACTCCTTCCATGATCCACTCAAAACTGGATAAATACCCTGCTGATGTCACCTCCAACTGCGTTTATGAATTTACGTGCACTTGCGGGAGCAAGTACATTGGAAGGACAGAAAGAAGGGCTTCTATCCGGTTTTCTGAACATATTCCAAGAAACCTATGCCTGAAAGGAAGCAAATATTCTCAGAGTGCAATTACCAGACATATTGTTGATACCGGACATCTCGTAGAGATTTCTAAGTCCTTCAAAATATTAAATAGACAAAGGACAGCAAATTTACTACGATTTGCCGAAGCGATCGCAATCAAACGATTTAAACCAGACTTATGCATACAGAAAGAGAGTGTGATTAACCTCTCACTCCCTTGGTAACTGAATTTTGATTTTGATTAGTCATCTAATTCAGTGATCTCAACTCACTGAGCAAATCTCAATCTTATAAACTGTAAATGCTTTTGTTTTTTGGAGTTGCCATGTGAACCTACAAGCTAACACTGTTTCTGTTAATCAATTTTTCTGTTTTCTGTCTTACCCCTCCCCCCTCTTTTCAACTCTGAAAGTGTATAAATTGATGATGATAACTTAAACTAAAAATTGTAATGCTTTCATTCTTTTTTGGATGCGTCAATTTTATCTCTTCTCTACTACTAATCAAACATTAAAGTATGTTATTATCATTTATATAACCATTGTAATTTCAGGTAGTCTGCAGCTGATGAGAACCTGTGAAATAGAATGATATCATTTTATACTGCAAATTTCGTCTTCCTTTCTTTATCGAAAATCAGGAACTCACAGTTTATTGTCTTGGTATTTATATATTTTAATACTAATGAAACACAAACTACATCAGAACCTTTTGTTTCAAGAGTGTTTAAAGTCATGAAACCATATCATAACTTCATGTATTCAAATGAGTTTGCCGTTGACTGGTTTCGTAGTCCAGTATATTCTAACGTAAGTAATGAACAGAATGTTCACCACTTAGATGTGTCAGTTCTTAAATGACATCACTTGAGTTCTAAGCGTTTATTCAACTGGAAAAAATCTGTTTTGTGTTAATGTTAAACTTCAGGCTCTAAAATCGAACCTTTTATGGGAACTGAAAGAATTGTTGTCTGAAAAGTATTCATGATAGATACAGTTACGCAAGCATTGTGACATTTTCAAAGAAGCTTGTATGATTAATTTGAACTTGCCTGCAAAAATGTGTGAAGTGCATACTTATTATTAAATAACCAACTGTTAGCATCACACGTAAATACGTCAACAGCAATTACTATTGCAGTGATAAAAATTCAGTGTTAATGCATCAAACCAGTGTTAGTTAATATTTGTCTTCATACACCAGTTAGAGCAAAAGCCGTTAAGCAGAAATGGTGAAGTACTTTTGTATGTTGTGTCGACGATGTTAACCGATGTATGGACATGTGTATGTTTAACTCATTTTTAGGTGCACACATACAGACAATCACTGTCTCTACCTTTGTCATATAGATTCATACAAATGAACATGCAAGTAACCAGATAAATAATTATTCGAAGCTAAGCACAATAAGAATGGTCATTGATATATGTATTTTTTAACCTTGAAACTTTTGCATGATTTGAGGTAATCAGAGCTTTGAAGAATTGATCATGATCACATCATTTTCGTAAAAATAAAATAAACGTGATATAGTTCCGATTTTAAAAAACTACATCAAAAACAATAAACACACCCAGTGTGTTGTACACGTTTTGATAACCCTGAACTTGTCAGTACATAAGAGATGTAGTCAATAAAGTAGGTTAGGAATAAATGATTTCAGTGAATGTTGTTTGAAATAAAAATTATATTTTGTGTAGATGTGTCCATCAAACAGAAAAAAATTGCACACTGAAACACATGCACAAGCTTATTTATACAAGTGTGTGCCAATGTCGCCTGCTAATGTATTCACTGAACTTTTAGGCTGATTATCAATGTGTAGTTGGTTGTTCACTAATAAATAAAGTAAACCACTGAAAAATTGAACTGAGAACAATTTGTACACACTAGTTTTACAAATACTATTGTAATCTTTGCGGATTATCTGTAAAATGTATAACGCCTAAAGTGATATGCTTAAAAGATAAACTCATCCATTTTTACAATGCCTAAAAGTCCAGTGATCAGTAAAGATTCGAAGTATTTCCCGAATTTTATTAAACGTAATAAAAGTGTTAATCTGTCCAGTCGTTATAATGGTAAGTATAATGGTGATAATAACAATAGTAATAGTGATAATAACTCCTTTCATAAGTGATTTTGACATTTTTCTTACGCCTGTATTTATATATTTTTTTGTATGCAACAATCGCCTGTTGAATTAAAATCATGGTTTGACATTGAACAGCCAACCATGGTTACGTCCTGTGTGTTTGTGATCGGCACTTACTAAATGTCTAACTTCCCTGTCCACTTAATTTAAACTTAATCACCGAATTCTCAAAGGAATACGGCCCAGGAAGCTCCTATTTTGGACCATTATCCACAACTTGAAATGATATTTCTTCAGACTACTTATTATAGTTCGACACGTGACTAGTTCACGGATGTACAAAAAACCAAATGACTGTTAATAACTAATCGACCGTTTTTATTTCCAGCATCCTCCTTATTCGCACAATAAAAATTTAACTTCAGTCTTTCCTATACAATTGTCAATGATTAGTATAATTTAACACTTGAACATCTTACTAACCCAACTCCAGGCTACTGAAATTTTCCTTGAGTACTATTGATATAAGTATAAAACTTGGGCACTGTGGTAGAGTATAATTCCATAATTCCTTGAGTACTTAGGTCAAAAATACTACAATGTCTAATTCACGCGGAATGTTTTAAGCCATACAATACTTTGGGTAGTGAGTCACGTTAAATCATTATACATTATTTAAAACAATCTCAGTATGTTTAGAAAATCAAAAAAGAGTTCTATCAGTAGACTTCCTCTGAAGAAGCTGCGGCCAACACAACGAAACATGCCGAAAACTCTTGTTTTGATTTTAGAAGCACTTTGAGAGTACTTTAAAGAATTTTATGATATACAGTACTTTATTTACATGGTAAAGGGAAAAAATATTGTCTAAAATACAAGAACGAAAATTCAACTTTACAGAGAGTTCGAGATTACTCAAAAGAAATTGCACAATGCAAAAATATTAATAACGGAGATTTTTCGAACCTCTAGCCAGACTGTGTAACTAATTTGAATTTAGTAACATGGTTAGAAGAAGAGTATAGTTCAACGGCTAGAGATTAGGATGTTAAAATAGACATAAATGTGGCAAGGAGAGATCGCCTGCTACATTAGTAACTAGATGAATGAAAAGATTCTCAAGGGTAAAGTTTAAAAGGTTTATACAAACAAATTCCTCGTTAGATCTTTTGTATGTAGAGTTCAGGCATGAAAGTATGGATTATCAGACTTGAAGGGGTTTCATTCATACACCTTTCAGAAGATTCTGACACACTGATTAGATTATATTAAGGATATTTGCTCCCCTCCCCCCACCTCAACCAAGATGACCAGAATCAATCATATACTCTAAAACTGGACTGCATAACTCAGTCACTGGAAGATGAGACGAAGTTGGTCTTTTTTGTTGAAAAACAATACGGCCTATTTCTTAAATTTTCGACTGCTGAGTCCACTGAGTTAATTAATTATTCGATAAAGGAGACCATTTTATGTAACAGAAGTGTATGTGGTCTAGTTGTTCTCCCAGTCATAGATTTTACGATGAAACTTTAGAGATATGCGTTTTCAGCTATTTACTGGGCCACCAGTTGTATTTGCACTGCAGATTTTACAGACTCGACGACTCCATTTATCAGAATTTGTTGTGGTGTTTATACGCAGCCCACTGTAGAAGTTCACTAATTGACCATTCCAGGCCAGTTTTCTTTTAGATAGATACAAAGTATTAGTTATAAAATGTTTGAAATCGATTGCGTTATGAGGACTTGCTTGTTACACAAGCATCCTAGACTAAATGTATATACCTTGATATGCACAAACAGTTTTCCTTCTTATCATGTGATTGTAAATATGATGATGAAAAGCTGAGCCTGAGAATGCCTGTGGAAATCGAGTTCTGTATGAGTAAAGTTTAACAGCAAGGAGTATTTTAGTATTCAATAGTGAACTGAGAAATTTATGGACAGCTACGTTTATATTTCATCGTTTAAACATCAGTTAGCTGCTAAGCAGCTTATTCGCATCCAACTTTTGTGTCGTGTTTAAGATATGGAGACTGAATCACACAACCTGTATAATAACATTTTCTCCGGTGAGTAATTCAGAGCAGTTAGCTTGTCGATCAATGAGTCCTAAACAATTGAAAACCGATCATATTATACGTTGTCATTGACAACTACATTTGTCAGTCAAATTTTCAGTTAAATATTTCTATGATTAGAATGAAATCATCAGTAAATTGTAGACGAACTTCTAGATCGAAGCTGGACACAAAAAACTTACCTATTTCTAGTCTTATTAAGGTGTGTATCTTCGTTTTGATTTCAACTCTCGAAATATTAAACTTGCGACCGTTTCAGATAGTTGGGTTCATCATTCTTAGAGTTACTGTGCGCAGTGTCATAAAAGTTCATTTGTTAAATAAATGTATTTTCAAGTATGGGTTTTGTAGGGATTTTGTTTGATTGCATGGAGGATTTCATCATGAGCTGACATCAGTTAGAGAACCACTGGAAAACCTGGGAGTACTGGACAGCTGTTTTGTCCTATTTTGGGACTCTTCAGCAGTACGTACCCACCAACTGGGTTCGAACCCAGGACCTTCTGGTTACAAGGCGAGCTCGTAGACCATTGAGCCACTGGGAACCGATCCAATGGTCCTTGAATTCTAACTTCTGCCAATTCACGACAGAGCGCAACCATTTCGCAATGTCTTCTTCGATGAGTTACTGCCTCATCTTCAACCTGCTGTACCCCACTGGTCACGCCTTCCCACTAGAACCCCAGGTTAACTGCCTGAATAGAGCCAGTCACTAGTGAGCATCAGATTAATTTTCAAGTATTGGTTTGGTAGGGATTTTGTTTCATTGCATGGAGGATTTCATCATGAGAAGCCGTGACCAGTGGAGTACAGCAGGTTGAAGATGAGGCAGTAACTCATCGAAGAAGACATTGCGAAATGGTTGCGCTCTGTCGTGAATTGGCAGAAGTTAGAATTCAAGGACCATTGGATCGGTTCCCAGTGGCTCAATGGTCTACGAGCTCGCCTTGTAACCAGAAGGTCCTGGGTTCGAACCCAGTTGGTGGGTACGTACTGCTGAAGAGTCCCAAAATAGGACAAAACAGCTGTCCAGTACTCCCAGGTTTTCCAGTGGTTCTCTAACTGATGTCAGCTCATGATGAAATCCTCCATGCAATCAAACAAAATCCCTACAAAACCCATACTTGAAAATAAGTATATCACACAGTGACTTAGAAGTAATAACTGGATGACTTGCTGAGGGAAATTTATTGCTCATATTCTTATCAAGTGGAACATTCCATTTGATGTGATTGTGAATAATAAATTTTGTTTGAAATATCAATCATTAGGAGAAAAACAATACTGAACTAACAATAAATTGCATACCTACTCAGTGTGTCCAAATCCTATGTATATTACTTGTGCTCAGAGTATTTTAGGCTGTGATTCAATATTTAAACACTGATCATTCTCAACCAAAACTTTTCATTCTAGTTAGGCTATTTTTACATGCACACATCTAAGTTTATTATACTGGTAACAAATAACCAGTTAAATTTCTTGCTTTTCTCCTTAGATAAATCACTCTTTGCTAGTAATTACATTAACTCTCTAGAGATTATCTGTTAAAATGAATAAGTTTTTGAATTTCGATAATTAGGTTGGCACTCATGCATATTGATTGATGAAAGACTGAATAAGTAATAAATGATTAAAAAAAATACAGAGCCTGATTCTTGCATACACATACATTCCTCTTTTGAAATGTAAACATTCCCGCAAAAAAGAAAGACAATCTTATACTACGTAATTTATTCTCAACAGATAATTTAAAAAAAAATGCAAAACACCACTGTTAAACAGTATGGTACATATCAACTACCAGAAGATAATTTTCATAAGTGTGAACACAGAGGTTTTTGAATAAAGAAAAATAAGTGAGTAGTTAGCATGTTGGTAGAACTGATCTAATCGATTGGTAGCATTTTTCATTAGCTTAGTTAGCATAAATTTAATGATAGGGAGCATGTTAAATTTTATTTTATTTTTTTTATTTTGATTTACAGCTTGATTCCACACTGTATTTTCAGTACAAGTATGGAATTTTCAGCATGGATATCGGTAGCCCAAATTCAGGCCGACCATAGATATCGGGTGTGCGCCGGCAGGGGATCGAACCCCGGACCATGTGCATGGTCGGCGAGAGTCCTAACCACTGTGCCACCGACCGGTTCCTAGTGGTGTTCTATTCTATAAGCTATCAAGATACTCCTTACTTCAGTTATCTTAAATGAATCAATAATTTTCATTTCCTAGTGAATTTCGTGTAGACTAGCGTTTCTTTTGAGATGACGGATGATTTACAGATGGCAAGACTTGTTTTGACACCTCTCTGTAAAGGTCAGGTACCGTGAATTGACGGGATTTTATTTCAAGCTATTTAGTAAGAAAACTAAAAGACACCTTTTTACAGACTGCTGATGAACTGCAGTTTATAATGCTTCTTTAATTCTCTACTTCAGGTATAAAAGTTATTAGGAAGAACAGACTGTTTAACAACTAGTAAGGCATTGACTATCAACAGTCAACGTTCTGATATAATTAATCAGTTACTTATGTTTAACTTGCATATTTGTTAGATTTTCTTGTGATACGCAGGTAATTGCTCTTAACATCTCATGGGACCATAACCTCCTGTGACCTAAGTTCGTGTTTTCAGATAGTTTCTTTTTTAAATGACCTGTTTTTTCTCAAGAATACAATAAGAGGTCAGGTAATCATTGGACATGACTGTTCCAAGTAGGTCGACTTTAGCTGATCTATGTTTAATCTCTCTTTATCTTGAAGTGATCTGCTAACACTGATTCCTTCTTAATCCATAGAAGTTATTACAGAAAGATCTTGTTTTTGGTATGCTGGTATTCACTGTTTTATTTAACTCAATCATACAACATAAAAGTTGAAGGCTATCTGTTTAAACC